TAAGTGCTCCCACGTGTTTCTAGTCTCAGGGTACTTCACAATTCCTCTTGGTTTTCTTCTACCTCCTTAGTTCCCTTCATCCTTCACAAACATCTGTAAACAGTCCCTTGAGGAACCTTCCATCAGATGGCCCGGTGGGAGGGTATCATCTGTTTCCTGCCAGGATCCCATCTAATGCATCTTTTTTTTTTTTTTTGGCCGCACCATACGGCATGCAGGATCTTAGTTCCCCAACCAGGGATCGAACCCTGGCCCCCTGCAGTGGAAGCGCGGAGTCCTAACCGCTGGACGGCCAGGGAGCTTCCCATCTAATACACCTTTGATCAGCATCATTCATTTGTGCTACCTGCCCAGCCCTAGAAGATATTTGAGTTTGCTACCCCTGCACTAGACTTACATTTTATGCAGCACACAAGAGGAGTCCAGTAAGCTTATCTGTGGCTCTCAGAAAATTAATTCTTTTTTTCCACCACCATCTTTGATGCAAAAAAAGAGAAATCTCTTTTTTGCTCTTGGGTTGAGAGCATGCCCTTGGGTTTTTGCTCATGCCCTTGGGTTGACAGACCATATGGGGTAAAGAGCGCTGGAACAGGAGTTAGGAGCCCTGGATTCTAGGCAGAATGCCCCCTTTCAGAAACATAGTTGCTTTGCAGAAGAGCCAGCTGGGACCTCACCAGATGCAATCGTGCAAAACAGAGTGGCCACAGACAGGATCTTTCCAAGCCCTGCCCAGGGAGGAAGGCAGCCTGCCCAGAATTTTCTCTTTCTATTCTGTTTCCCTGTTTGATACCCATCCCCACCTCCCCTTAAGCCTTGCATCAATCCCCCTTACCGCCCCCCCTAAAATTTCCAGTTGTACATCTATGGCATAAATGTTTGTTTTTTGACAAAACTTCATTTAAACTTCAACTCTCTATGTGGGAAAGGAATGCCTCTTTTAACAGAAAATCAGTGTTGTTAACAAACAAAGTACATGTTATTTAGCATCGTTGGACACTGCAAGTCCCACCAGGTCACTTGGCACTTCTATAGAAATATGTTTCTGGATAATCCCAGAGCCCCTGGCCAGGCCTCACCCAGAAGTCTCTGAAAGTTAAACTAATCACATCGTCAAGCAGTGGATGAGATCAGAATTGTGCAAAAGGGCCCTTGGAAAGAAAATCCTTCCTCGGCCAGAAGCAGAGAGAGTGAGAACATGATCTCTCTCTCTCTTTAGTGTATGTTTGCTAAAGACCTTCTCACTGCCAAGCGGGGACCTGGGTCCTGGAGGTGCAGGTGGCAAGTGAGAGACAGTCCCCTGGTTCCCCGGGGGCCCACGTTCCAGATGGTGCCCACACACCCAAGACCCTATTTTGATGGAATTTTCAAAGTTCAAGGGGATCACAGACACAGGGACCTACCACAGTGATTTATACCCCAGCCTTGGTGTCGGGGTTAAGTAGACACGGGAGAATGGGTGCTAGAAGCCATGGGAACAGCACGTACAGATGCACAGAGGTGCGAACACCAGGTGTGCCTGGGCCAGAACAAGAAGTTCCATGCTGCTGATGGGCAGGTGTTCTAGAGCCCGTTCATCCCCCCACATTAGTACATAAGCTCTCCATGAACTTATGTTTACCGGTGCGGCGGGGGGGAGCGTTAGGCAGAAGGATAGATTGGGAGTTTGGGATTGACATGTACACACTGCTGTATTTAAAATAGATAACCAATAAGGACCCACTGTAAAAAGTAAATAGATAGATGAATGAATAATTTTTTAAAAGAAAGAAAAAAAAAGAACATAAGCTCTCTGAGGGTAAGGATTCTTGTTTGGCTCATGACTATAATGCCTGACACACAGTAGCTGCTCAAAAAATATGTGTTATATGAATGTATCCATATATCTACTGAGAACCTTCTAGATAATATACTCTACTGGGGAATTAACACTGGACAGAACAAAGGTCCAGCTTTCCAGGTGCTCACAGGCTGAGGGAGGGGATTAAAGGTAAGGAAATGGACAATTGCAATACAATGTGATAAATACTAAGATACAGGAGCTGCTAGGGTGGACTTTTTGATGAAGTAAGAACCCTGGAGAAAGTTAACATCTCAGCAGAGTTAACCAGGGATGAGGGGACAGGAATGGACACTCAAGGCAGTGGGAACAACACATGCAAAGGCTTGGAGATGAGAAAAAGCAGGAAAGGATGGGATCAGTGGAGACAGACAGCCGTTGGGTTGCATGTCACAGAGAAAGGTCATCCAGCCAGAACACAGAAGATAGACTGATAGATCACTAGATACATACATACATATACATACATACATAAAGACTGACAATAAAATTCAATCACTACTGAGAGGTCAACTCCAATAACCAAATCTCCAATAACCAAGTCAACCAGGTCCCTAGGTGTCTTGCTTAATAAGGACACGTCGCCTTTATTAATCACTTACTATGTGCCAGCCACTGGGCTTTGAAGCTATTTACTTTTCAGCTCTAAGAAGTGGGTCCCACTTTTATCCCCATTGTACAGGTGAGCCAACTGAGGTTCTACGGTGCAAAGTGACTCCCATATAGGTTTCATAGGACCCACTCAAAAAGATAACAGAAATGTGAACCCAGGCCCATGAGAGCAATGGAGGCATCTTGTAGCCTGAGAGGGAAGGCAAAAAAAGGAACGGAGGACAGAGAGGAGGAAAGTGAGTCACTTTATCCACACGCATGTCCTCCTGGCTCATCAAATGCAAACGAAGCCTGGAATGGAACAAGCACCGGTAATTAAAGTGGAATGAAGGTGGGGATGGTGGAACAATGGGGCACATTCTCCACCACCGGAGGCAGGGTGGTTGCCATGGAGACAGACCACGGTGATGGGACCAGAGATCAAAGCCCTCCCCATGATCTTCTCCTCTGTTGGAGTTGAAGGATCAACTGTTGTAGCTCCTGGAGAACCAGAGAACACAGCTATAGCTGCCCCAGCTAGAGGAAAGTTTCTTAGCACCTGCTTCTGAAGCTGGGACATAGCATATGGTTGAAAGGAGAGTATCTGTGTTCTTCAATGACTATGTTTGTTTGTTTGGGTTTTTTCTTTTCTTTTCTTTTCTTTTTTTTTTTGGCTGCGCAGCATGTCTTGGGCTTGCGGGGATCTTAGTTCCCCGACCATGGATTGAACCAGTCCCCTCGGCAGAATGATTATTATTTTATTAACTTTAATTTTCTTTATACCAAGCTTGTTGTCAAAAACTCCAACAACGGATACAAAACAGATATGCATTAAAAGGAAAATTCTCTTCCTCTTACTTGAAGCCTCTGATAATTAACTCTTTCTAAAAAGACACACAAGAGGGCTTCCCTGGTGGCGCAGTGGTTGAGAGTCCGCCTGCCGATGCAGGGGACACGGGTTCGTGCCCGGGTCCGGGAAGATCCCACATGCCGAGGAGAGGCTGGGCCCATGAGCCATGGCCGCTGAGCCTGCGCGTCCGGAGCCTGTGCTCCACAACAGGAGGGGCCACGGCGCTGAGAGGCCCGCGTACCGCAAAAATAAAAAGACGCAAGAAATTGAAAGCTTTTCTTCCTCCTTGGGTGACCTGGGTATCTCTAGACAAAGAGAAGGAAGCCGTCTTCACTGTATATCCTTTTATACGTTCTGATTTATTTTTTAATTTAAAACTATAAATTAAATTTAAAAAATAAGTATAATTTTTAAGCTAAAATTATACACATAAAATTTAACCAACTCTTAAATAGGCCTTTATGTCTCTTACAGAATTTTTTTCTCTTTGCATATAGAAACTTAGATATGTAACGTATACAGTAGTTCAACAATGAAAATCTGTCTCATCCTTTTTAAAGGTTTTGTGGAATTCCTTAAGACCATGGTCTATGTAATCTATTCCCTTTCTATAAAAAAGAGGGGATTGAAACATTGCTGCTCCCCTTTCATGCTTCCACCTGGATCACTCCAGACTGAAAGGGAGCAGAGTAGCTACCTCGGGACTTCAACATGAGGCCAAGTCAAAGCTCTAACGTTTGGACGGCTGAGTCAGGTGACCTATGACCTGGCACACAGACGCAAGAGGGTTTTTTTTTTTTTGCTTTTTTTTTGGCCACACTGCGCGGCATGTAGAATCTTAATTCCCTGACCAGGGATCGAACCAACACCCTCTGCACTAGAAGCTCGGAATCTTAACCACTGGACCACCAGGGAAGTCCCCAAGAGCTCTTTAATCAGATCTCCTGGACTCAGATGCAGGCTCAGTCCTTTAACGGGATCTCAGGGTAAATCTCAATGTTCTTATCTCTTAAGAGGGCATCATAGTATCTCCCTCACAGAATATTCCTGAGGAGTAAATGAAAAATCCATGCACAGCACCCAGGCTGTTGCCTGGCAGAGAATACCTAAGCGCCCCGAAAATGACCCGTATTAGTGTCCTTATTCTTATCATACTGTTACATCCTCTAGGATGACTATTGGCTAAGCCCCCCTCTCCTCCAGCCACTCACTCAACACATGTTAATTGAGTGCCTAGTATGTGTCCAGCTGGGGTCCACCCAGCTCAAGGAGAAAGGCACACATCAAAGGGAAAACTTCAGCCAGCTCTGGCTCCAGAGCCCAGAATTTCAGTTTACACCTCTGATCTGGAGATGCCCTAAATCAGCAGGGCCCTTCCAAAGAGACAAGAAAAAAAATAAATAAACTTACCTAGAGTTCAAAGTCACTAACGTGGCTCCAGAATAGTAGGACACGGTATTTGTTTTCAGGGCTCTGAACAGGGACGTTTCAAGAGAAATTTTAAGGGAGCACCTCCAGAATGCGTTTTGTTCACACTCACTTCTAAACCAATGAACCCCCATAGGGAAATCAGTGTGGGTCCAGGTTTAAGTTAAATTATAATCATAGGAGGAGTAATAAAATTAGCTCTTATTTATTAGGGGTTTGTTATGTACCAGACTCTGTGCTAAGAGCTTTCCATGCATCATCTCATTTCACCTTCAAAATAAGCCAAGAGGCAATTCCCTGGTGGTCCAGTGGTTAGGACTCAGCATTCTCACTGCTGGCGCCCAGGTTCAACCCCTGGTCAGGGAACTAAGATCCCACAAGCTCCACGACGTGGCCAAATTAAAAAAAAAAAAAAAAAAAAAATTTAAGCCAAGAGATATGAAGTGTTAGGATCTACAGGATACAGATGAACCACTGGAGGCTCAGAGAGGTCAAGGGGCTTGCCCGAGGTCACACAGCTAGTAAATGGCCAGGCCAGGATTCTGACTCTAAAGAGCCTGCTGCAGAGCTCTCTGCCACCCGCAAGTCAAAGAGCAAAGACTCCTCAAACTTGGGGAGGATTTGGACTTCTCTTCTCTTCTCTAAACCCCTGCAAAGGCCAACCACAAAGAGCATTTGCAGCCACAGTAGAAGACCAGAAAGCTAACCTAAAGCTCAGTGGTTAACTCCCCTTTGGGTGTGCTCTGGAGCTGTGCACACAGGCTACAGAAGAGGGGCTACAGAAACCTGAATCGTTTAGCACAAGGCCTGGAAGACAATGCATGACATTGTAGGCTGAGGCAGCTGAACCTGAGAACCCTGGGGACCTGGCCGCATCTCTCTAATCGGATCTGAAAACCACATTCCTATGGTTCCCCCAGGTTGCAGCGAATTCCTCTGGCTTATTAAGCAGGTATGACCCGTCTTTTTTGATATAAAAACAATAGGCTGTGTGCTGGGCTGGGCTGAGACCTAACAGAAAATAAGAAGTCAGCAGCACAAAACCTATCACCTCAAACACACATCTGGAAAGCATTTTCTATTGATATAAAAATGGATGTGTGGATAACGCATATGCGTATTTATGAATCTGGTGTATTAATCACAAAGGTCACAGTGAGAAAGGGCCATTCTGACTCCGAAGCCAGCCCCCATGCTGAGCTTTCGGATGACTTTGGGGTTGACTTATCCCAACCGATGCCAAAGCTTCATATACACACCTTCTTGTCTACTAATCAGGTCTCCAAAACCCAACCAGGCTAAACACGAACGCTTTTTCTCTGGTGTCTTGGAGTGGATACATTCGAAAATGGAACACGCTTATGAGGTCTGCTGATTCCGGCTCCTTCTAATGAGAGCTCTTACTTGACTGAAAGCCAGGTTTCTTAGAAAACTGCATTTTTCAAGTTTTTTTTTTTTTTAGATTCCACATATAAGTGATAGCATATGGTATTTATCTTTCTCTTTCTGCCTTACTTTGCTTAATATGATAATCTCTAGGTCCATCCATGTAGCTGCAAATGGCATTATTTCATTCTTTTTTGTGGCTGAGCAATATACCATTGTGTGTATATGTGTGTGTGTGTGTGTGTATGTGTGTATTTATATATATATATATATATATATATATATATAATTTGTTTCATTTATTCATCCAAGAAATATATTTCGAGCATCTACTATGTGACAGTAATGGTTCCAGGTACCGGGGATACAGTCACAAACAAGACACATTAAGTCCTGTAGTCTTGGAGGTTCCAATCTAGTGAAGGAGACATAAAATAAATGTAAATGAATAAATATAGAATATAATTGTGATGGACAGACTCTAAGTTACCCCTTCCATGATTCCTGCCTCCCAGTATTCACAGTTTTGTGTAATTCCCTCCCCTTTAGTACGAATAGGACTTGTGACTTGTTTCCAACCGATAAAATATGGCAGTAGTGGTGGAATGTTATTTCTATGGCCTTACGGTCTTGCTAGCTGACTCGCTCTGAAGACCCTCCCGGCTGGCGTGATGAAGAAAGCAGCTGTGTCAGTCAACTGCAGGCAGCCCCTAGGAGCTGAGCGGCCTCCAGCTGACACTGACCAAGAAGCCAGGGCTCTCATTCCTATGACTACAAGGAAATTTAATTATTCCAATGACCTTAGTGAGCTTGGAAGTGGATCCTTACCCAGTCAAGCCCCCAGATGAGAAAGCAGCCCAACTAACACTTTGATAGCAGCCCTTTGAGACCCTAGGCAGAAGACTCAGACTCCTGACATAAAGAAACTGTGAGATAATAAATATGTGCTGTTTTAAGCCACTGTTCATGGTGATTTGTTTTACACAACCATAAAAAATTAGTGGAATAATTATAGATAGGAATAAGTGCTATGAAAAAAATAATGAAAGTAAAGGATAGAGTGAGGGTGGAGGGCTCTTCTGTGGAATTGTCCAGAGGGGGCCTCTCTGACTAGGTGACATCTGAGCACAGACCATCAAGAAGCTGTGTGGAAAATCTGAGGGAACAGGGTTAGGAGGGAAATGAACGGCAAACACATGGTTTCATGAAGGAAGAGAGGAGCTGGTATATTGAGAAACAGCAAGGAGGCAAAAGTGGCTGCAGCCAGTGGTCAAGGAAAGGGTGATGGGAGCCAATGAGTCAGTGGTCAGATTATCCAGTGCTTTGTGGTTCACGCAGTAAGGACTCTGGATTTTATGTTAAGAATACTGGGAGGTGATTAGAAGGATATAATAAGATTCATGTTTTTAAAGAGACTTCTCTGGCCGCTATGCTGAGAAAAACTGAAAAGGAGGAAAGATGGAATCGTGAAGACCAGATAGGAGGCTGTGGTCATTGTCTTTGAAAAACGCTGGTGGCTTGGACTAGAGTAGGAGTGAAACGAAGAGAAGCGGTCAGATTTGGGTTCACGCCTCTGAGGTTCCCTCCTTTCTACAATATGCCTCTCAACTTCTAACCACTTTGGAAGCCTCAAAGTCCGACCTCTGAATCCTCAGCCCAGTAAGACGGTGAGCTTCTGCTCACCTTCTATTCTTCTGCACCATGAATTAACCAAAGTCTTTAGAGGAAAGGCTGGGATCAATTTAAGGATCCCCTTCCCCTCCCCCTAGCATCATATTCCCACAAATTCTATATGTGCTGGTGCATTCCGATTCTTATAAACAGTTGTTGCATGTATTTATGTCCAGCTTTTCTCAATGTTTTTGGAGGAGGGTTATTTTCATACAGGCTCCACTGGAACTGACTTTTTCACTGAAGTCTTATCCCACGCCTGGTTCAAATCAATCCCTATACTGTAGTGGTTATGAACCCAGACTCTGGAGCCAGGCTGCCTGGATTCAAATCCCACTTCTGATACCTTCCAGCTCTGAGTCTGAGATTTATCACCTAACCTCTCTCTGCCTCAGTTTCCTCATCTTTAAAATTGGAAGAGGACTCCCCTGGTGGCGCAGTGGTTAAGAATCCGCCTGCCAGTGCAGGGGACATGGGTTCGAGCCCTGGTCCGGGAAGATCCCACATGCCACAGAGCAACTAAGGCTGTGCGCCACAACTACTGAGCCTGTGCTCTAGAGCCCGCGAGTCACAGCTACTGAGCCCGAGTGTCACACCTACTGAAGCCCGCGCGCCTAGAGCCCGTGCTCCGCAACAAGAGAAGCCGCCGCAATGAGAAGTCCGCGCACCGCAACGAAGAGTAGCCCCCGCTCGCCGCAACTAGAGAAAGCCCGCGCGCAGCAACGAAGACCCAACACAGCCAAAAATAAATAAATTTTTTAAAAGTAAAATAAAATTGGAAGAAAACTCGTTCCTATCTCATGAATTTCTGAGGGGTAAATAGAACAATACACTTAGAGCACGTAGAGCATTGTCTAATACATAGTAAGTATTTACATAGGTCTTTATTATTATCTATACAATAGATGGGGAAGAAAGACCCACCTTGATACGTGGCAAGTTAATGGCAGAACCTAAAACTCAGGTCTCCCAACTTTCAGCCCAAACATATAGAAAAATATTGGCATGGAGGTAATACCTTTAAGAATGTGAATTCCCTGGAACACCCATCAATATTATCACTATAGAGTAGTTAACCTTTTGTTTGTTTTTTGGCCGTGCCACATGGCATGTGGGATCTTAGTTCCCCAGCCAGGGATCAAACCTGCGCCCCCTGAAGTGGAAGTGTGGAGTCTTAGCCACTGGACCGCCAGGGAAGTCCCATAGAGTAAGCAGTTAACCTCTTTGATAACCTTTCTCCCAGAGGGTAGAGTGTTGATGGTATGGAAAATCAGAGAGGTAAATTTTGCTGGAGAAGAAATAAGGGAAAAGTCTGGAGCATAGGAGTTAGGACTACGGAGGAACTGTGATTAACCAGGCATAGCAAAAGCCAGTTCTGCATCTATTTCCCATTTTGTCATGCTCTGCATTGGGAGAGTTCACGTCCTCTGGCTTTGTAAAGTTTACACTTAAGCCTCAACTTAGACCTGGAACACTGGAAGAAAAACGGGTGCAGGTGGGTTCCCATTTCTGTGCAACCTCCCAAGCACCCAGCTCCCGAAGTCCCCTGAAAATGGGAGAGAGCCATCCTCTAAGACTCTCTGTACTATTTCCCATCGATTCCACTCCTCTGCCCACCAACAGGGAAACAGGAGGCCTCCCGGCCAGAAACTCAGAGGATGCCAACACCATTCTGGCACCACTCCCGGCTTGCTCCGTGGTCCTGGGAAAATGACGGAACTCCCCAGCACACTCATTTTCCTATTGCCAGAGGAGAGACAATAAAATCCGCTTCCCAGAGAGCCAAGGGAATTAATTACTTGAGCATTTATTAAGTGCTTTGAAGATACAATGTGTGAAGTGTTCACTTTTTCCCTTCCTTGCCCTCAGGTTTTCCTAAGCAGGACAAGCAGTCACTAACAGCCAAGTCCACAGCTTCCATGGAAAGTTCAGGACACTTCCTAAGGGCACAAGTAGCACATTAACTCTCACTTGAGTTTCAGCCTGTGCAGCGCGAGGGATGAAATAAGTTTGCAGAAACTCTCACAGCTTGGCTGAATTCCCCTCCAGTAGCACGTTGGAAACTTTCACAGAGCTGCTTCTGTATCTTCAGCATTTATTCAACAATTTTTTTAATTTTGTATTTTATATTGGAGTATAGTTGATTTAAAATGTGTTAGTTTCAGGTGTACAGCAAAGTGATTTAGTTACACATATTCATATATCTATTCTTTTTCAGATTCTTTTCCCACATAGGTTATTACAGAGTATTGGGTAGAGTTCCCTATGCTATACAGTAGGTCCTTGTTGATTATCTATTATATGTATAT